CACAACACTTCATTCACAGAGATCGGAATTGACACACTAGTGCCGAAGACGTGGGCTGCGTACCAGCGAAGTACGTGTCCAACAACATACAATATGCAGTTTATTTTGGGATTGTGACGTTTTAACATAAAACATAACACCACATGGGCTTATCACTAAAACCACATAAACACCTACATTTGTTTAATGTTTACACCCCTGAAACAAAAGAGGGGAAAGTTACATAGTTTCATGACTTTAAGAATAAAATCATTTGATCAAGCGCGGCTACTTTATTTACTTAGAAATTGTGTCTCCTTCCTTCTGAAGACATGTGCCATGAGAGTGGACTGCCTGGCGCGTTCCCTCTTGCCGTGGCTCTGCAGCCTCAGGGGAAGTGTTGCCACGTGACTGCTGTTCAGAAAAGACCTGACTCATGGACGAAGTGGGAAGACTGCTGGGCTTGCTGCCAGGAGATTTGAATGTGAGTCTCAACCCTGCTGCTAGCTACTGTCTGGCACTGGGCTATTTGTGGCACCTTCCTGAGCCTGGGTCTCTTCATCCTGAACACGATGTAACTTGGAGCACATCAACTCTACGGATTGCACGAGTTCTCAATTCCGTGACACTGTCCACTGGCCAAGATGGCAGAGTTACTTTGTGTTGGATACTTTCTGAACCAGTGGCAAATGGCATCTACTTCTAGGCTGGAGGCCCCTGAACTCTTGACAAGGCCTCCCAGGTTCTTAATGATCAAATAGAACACACAGAAGTTAAATAAACAACAGTGTAGTCATAGATTTGGGAAAAAAAACAAAAAAAAACTGCACCCAGATACCACTGGGTTCCATCCCTCCTTCTACCTCAATGAAGAAACGGCTTCTACAAAACCCTTGAGGTAAGCCGTTCGCTTGAATATCTTCAGGGACTGAGAAATCACTGTCTGGGGCTATTCTGGTTTGGGGTAGAAAATTCCTTGGGTTATCAAGCCAGAAAGGGACACCGTCTGACTGCCACTCATCAGTCCTAGCTCCTTCCTCCAGAGACACATGGAAGAAGTCTCTTCTCTCTTTCTACATCATCCCATAGGTATTTGATAAAAATTCTCATACCTTCTTTCAATTTCTCTTCCCGTTATTAAAATGAATACTGTTTGCCAAGAGCAGAGGGTACTTGGATGTGCCCAGTATTATGATTCAGGAAGATAGTACTCGAGCTCTTGATCTGCCATCAACTCCTGTGTGTTCCTGACAAGCGACTTCCATCTGGGCTGATATGGTATTTTCTCCTTAAAATGGGGTGATGTAAGGGGTTGGGGACAAACGTGTCTCAGAGCTCGGGAAGTTGTACATATGGCTGTCATAAGGGGCAGAGCACTGAAGTGACTGTTCTGACCCACACTGTCACCAAAGGATTCAGGGTTAACAGGCCACTGAGTTCTCCTCGGGCCCAGCTACCAGTGTGATGTAGCAGCTGTTAATACCAGGATGGTGACGCACACTTAATAAACTACGGGGGAAAAAAAAAGGCAAAACACTTCCAGAGCTCTGGGCCCTGGGAGAGCAAGAAGTCAGAGGGAAGAGAGTTCCGCGTGTGTTTCACAAGGTGTGGAATATAAACCACCCTGTCCTGGAGAATGAATCCCCAGTGTCACAATCACGGAAACACGCTGGGAAAGGACTTGGAAAATACCTTGCAAGCGAATGTTGGCAACAGGCATGTCTCGTGAGCAGGGAGCTAGTTGAACTTTTATAACCCAGGGGAGCTACTGACGAGCACAGAGGTGGACTTTCCTCCGGGGTGTCACAGCTGAGGTGGAAATGAGGCCGAGGGCTTTGGCATGCCCGGCGCCCTGCAACTGATCGAAACGGACCCTTCTCAGGATGTGAAACTGTACCTTTTCACATTCTACTGTAACTTCGTTAAACAATTTAGACATTTTAGTAGCTTAAGCAATTCTGTCCTGTCAAATAGATCTACATCAGGGTAGGGGTCAAGATGCTAGTGACCCCATGCGTTTTGATCATGACTCCTGGGGGACACATGCACCTCTGGGTCATCCATAAAGTACTAATATTTTCAGGGGTGTTGCTGGCCAAACTTGAGTACAGCAGATAATAAATTCTTTCCACATTTGGCTTCATAATGGATTCTACCGTAGAAGACAAGTATCTTTATTTTCTGCCCTTTTATTTATGGAAAAATATCTTTGTGTAGCTATTTTCAAAATCACTTATAGTAAACAAAAATCATTTTTTTAATGATCATCCTTCACCAAATGGCACCCATTTTCAAAATGATAAAATATCCATGTACCTAAAGTTAGCTAAATAATTGGCTAATACACCCTAAATAAATGAAAAGGTCTGCAGACAGTGGAGGTACTGAGCAGTTAGAATGAACACATCTGAGGCGAAAACAATTTACCTCTCTGTCTCCAGGACAAGTGGGTACTTGGTCAATGTTTGTGGAATTGATTTGAATTCAGCCTTTTGAGAGACATTGGATCAGCAAAGCACTTTCCTCCTAAATTAACTCCTTTCTACAGCATGGGAGCATGGTGCTTCTTCCCTTCTGAACCTTTGAATGCACCCTCTTCCTCCTTTAAGGAGACCACCACATGGTCTTAAAAAGCATTTTCCCACTTCATTTTAAGAACCGGGGCACAAATAATTGCTGTGGAAATAATGCCTACTTAAGTTATAAGTCCTCCTAGAAATATTTGGCTGGGCCTTTCTAAACAGTAAAAGATATATCATAAAGCATTGAACAAATTCAGCCATGAAAACGTGAGCGCAATACATTCTTCAGTAAACGAGCTTATGATGGGAGCAAAATAAATATGTAGTGGGGTCTTTTCAAAGCCTTAAGTCTTTTAGGATAGCCGGAAATTCCAATTTCTTGAATAAACTTCCAAATCCACCAGATGCTTTATGGAACCATGGGCAGGTGCAGGACCTGGGCGCAAGGGTTCCTTTCGCTGGAGATGCGCCGGCCACTCTGGGCTCTTCCATGCACATTCTTTCCGGCCCCCGGGTTGCTTGGCGCTCTCCTGCAGATGCAGACGGGGCATTCTGTTTTCCTGGTGGGGTGTTAGGTCTGATCCTGGAGTCAGTTGGAAGTCACTGATACAACCTCCGTGATCTACCAATAAGTATTATTCTAGGAGTCAGTTGAGGAAACATTCACTTATCAAGCTGGTTTTACAGTTACTGAGAAACCTTTCCTTTCTGCTTCAAGGAAAGGGTAATTCCTCCATCTGAGATGCCCTTTCCCCAGGGCCATCTGCTGTCTGCCCACCTTCTTTCAGAACTCACTTCCTTTGTGAAGACGCTTCTGAACCAAGTGGAGATGACCACACCCCTGCCTGTGCTCCGTGGAGCCTGTGCTGACTGTTCGAGAAGCTGAAGGCGTGGGAGCCTCAACCTCCCAACTGAGAAATTGAAAAATCATTTTTATTTAACTGTAACTCAACAAACAGTGATCAAGTACTGCTTACAACAGTCCTGCTTGGGAGACCCCCACGCACCTCCCTGCCGCTGGCATCAAGGAAAAGAGGGATTTCGGTGCCGGGTTTGCTTTCAGACCCATTTTGAGGTCTCCCGTGTGCTGAAGGTCACTCCCATGTCACACTGACATGCTCTCAGACTTCACAGGATGCTCCAAGTTAACATGTTTCATCCCCATGAACTCATTTGATCCTTGGAAACAAATTGGTGGATTCTTGCTTTACAGACAAGTCAACAGAGGCTAAGAGAGCAGAAATGCTCCTCCTACCCTTGCCATATGAGTGTAGGAAAATGACGTAGGTTAGAGGATATCAACCTGTTGATGAGCAGGAGGGACCTCCTCAATGCCCAGCCTCTCCTCCAGGGAAGAAGCCTTGGCTGAGCTGATAAGCTAATCCCATATTTAAATCCCTTTGAAGATTCTAAGAGAAAAATACCCACATAATACTCTGCATATAAAGTTGTGGATCACAATTCAAAGCAGATCTAGGTTAACTTCTCCAGATTTGGTGATTGCCTCTTCCCCCCCCCCCCCCCCCCAAGAATAAATCTATTGTCTCCTGGCATCAGTCAAGCTTCTTATACAGCTGGTCTAGTTAGAAGTCTGTCTTCAAGCTTCCTGAGTCACCTAATCAGCTGGATATTTTATCTAGTCAGGAGCACTCCAGAAATCTTACGTAACACTGCCCGATGATTTTTTTTTTTTTTTTAGGACTTGGAGTTAGTCCTTGGAACATGCTGAGAGACATTTGACCAGGAGCCATCTAGTGATAGTCACATAAGTTTTGAGTAGATTCTGTCTTGTCCTTCATAGAGTCTTCTGGGTAAAGCTAATGCCCAGAACATCATAGGTGCGTAAAAAAAACAAAAACTGGTGCATAAAAGCTATGGTTATATTTCTGATACGCATGTGCAACTCATATTTGCTTGTTTGATGCCTGTGTACACAATAAAGGGAAAGGTAGCTTTTCTCATGTGCCATAGATAGCATCATGAAAACCAATTTCTCTTTCTGAGAACATTCGTGAGAGAATACCAGCTGTTATCACTTTTTTTTTTTGTTAGGCAAGGCACGAAACTATGTATCTGGGGAGACTGACGAAGGAGTTCTCCTCTGGAGGTTTGTACTGTTTTCCAGGGCTTTGGATTTTATTCAAGGCTCCTGATCTGAAGTGAGCGCCTCGTAATCACACTGAACAACCACTGTGCGCTCTGGCGACCACGGTGCGGGGGGAGGTACGGGGATGTTTTGAGTAGATCAGCCATTCATTTGGGGAGTGTTCTAGTTTTAGAAAATCACCCCTCTTCCAAGCAACCATAATAACACGCCTGATTTTCTTTTGCCTTTTCCCAATTCGTATTCTTAACAGGAAGGCATTTATAGTGTAGACTTTGGCTTGAAATTTCATAGCTAACCCGCTGCCTCTGTGGAATGCTTCGAGAAAACCCCTATACTTACTTATAATTACATATGAATGAAGAAAATTAGGAACTAGGAGGACAGGACCTTTACACAGTGATGTCTGGCTTGCCCCTATAGCAAGAAGGCTCCGAAGAAGGTTTTATCTTCTTTTGTGTAATCCACCAAAGAGATGTCACTGACGTTGACCGTCAGTTTGTCCCCTTCTTGCAAGGAGAACATGGCCCCGAGATAAATAGGTTGGAACCAGTTGGTACTTATTTCACACACTGTCTTGGTCCCCATGAGGAGCTCAGTGGGCTCGGGGTAGCTGTCTGTTACCTTGGTGATGACCACAATGATGGCATCTGGCTTGTTCCGTCGGTTCCCTTGGATTTCACCACACTTGGATGTGGTACCTCGGAAGGTGATCTGAGAGTAAACAAAGTAGTCTCCCGACAGCGGAATCACCAGGAATTTATTGGTGTAGTTCATCCGATTCTTGGTGAAGGCCAAGCCATGTTCATGTTGCCAGTCCAGAGCTGGGAACTGACTTCCCGAGGGCGGTGTGGGTGTTTGTCTCACAACTGCAAAGACAAGAGAGGTTTAATTTGCTTGCGTTGGAACCTGTGGACTTTGCAAAAAGTGTCTCATTATTAATTGAAATTTATTTTTATTGTTGTCAGTATTGCAGATGTCCCCCATTTTCCTCCCTTTGCCCCCTCCACCTGGCCCCCGCCTCTCCCCAGGCCTTCCCCGCACTGTCTGTGTCCATGGGCTAAGCACATATGCACATAATTTCTTTGGTTAATCTGCCCCCACCCTCCCCTCTGAGACCTGTCTGTCTATTCCATGCATCCATGTCTCTGGACCTATCTTGTTTGTCAGTTTATTTTGGAGAGTCCACATGTAAGTGAGATCAGGTGGTATTTGTTTTTCTCTGACTGGCTTATTTAACGTCATTATTTTTATTTATTTATTTATTTTTTTTATCCTCACCCGAGGACATTTTTCCATTTTTTGTTCAGGTAGAGTGGGAGGGAGAGAGAGGAACCAAGAGAGAGAGAGAGAGAGAGAAACATCGATGTGAAAGGGACACATCGAGTGGCTGCCACCCGCATGACCAACCAGGGCCGGGGACAAACTGCAACCGAGGTACATGCCCTTAGCGGGAACCGAACCCGGGTCTCTCAGGACCGCAGGCCGACGCTCTAACCGCTGAGCCAAACCGGCCAGGGCTAACGTCATTATTTTTAAAGAGTAAAGTGACTGAATAAAAGCAACAGCTAACAAGCTGCTGGAGGAAGGGTGAGTGGAAGATATTGTGTGAATATTTGTTCAGAGAGTAGAATCTTACGCCAGTGACCTGGGGCAAATTCCTTAGCCTCTCTGAGCCATAGTTTTCCTGACAAATTTAAATTACACCTGTGCCCTGTGATCCTGGAAAACAGTGAATGTTAGAAATCTCCTCACTGTTTTGGTTTGGGAAATCAGTGTACTGCAAAAAACCCCTCTTCCCCAAACGACTTAGGTACCGTTGATAGACACTTGTTTACCTACGACAAGGCCAAACACAACACTCTCCAAATTCCTATGTTTTGTCTTATAAATGATTAGCTGAGCTGTTTCATTTCTCATTGTTTCATTGGAACAAAATATTGTTAACTGAACTTTGATTAAGCTTCTCTCCTTCTTCCAGGTCCCCGAACTTGGGCCTACCCTCAGCCTGAGCCAGTATACAGTTCTGCTCTTATCATGCCAACCTTTCTCCCCCTTTCCTACACCTGGTTCTTTCTGGCTTTGTTTACTCCTCCCCATAAAAGAAAAGCCCTTTAGCCTAACTCTTGAGACACTTGCAAACTTCATGGTCAGGGGGGTCTCCCTATTGCAATAGTCTCTTCCCTCCCCCACACCCTCACCCTGCAGAAATCCTTTTGCATCAAGTCTCTTTCCTCACAAAGTCAGGATTTGTTTTTTATTTGACATTCCTTTCCTTCAAGAGAGGGGTGGGGGTGGGGGGACATAATAATACCCAGGGAAAGGATGAAAGAGATGGTGTGTATAAATCCCTAGCCATTAGGAATATTCTCTAAACAACATTTACTTACTGTTTTGGACATGCTCTGCTACAAAGAGGGGGCGTTTTAGAGAGAGACACATGTTTCTGTCACCCCCTTTTAACGGGGTCCAAAGCCACATGAAATATAGGTAGTGATCAATAAAAAATCTACAGCAGGGCAAATGTTGGAACCACAGATCCAGAACATTTTGGAAATGCTTCTCTGACATCGAAGGGGCCAAAATATAAGCCAATGTAATTCACTTGTGGAGTGAAGGGGACCAGGGCTCTGGACGGCTTGGGCCCCGTTCCAATCTCCATTCTGCAGCCCTAGGTTATTAGTCAACCATGGAGGTTCCTCCTCTCGGAGTCTCAATTTCCTGTCTGTGAACTGGAGATGAAGCTCTCTCCTAGTCTTGTTCTGAAGGTCAAGTGAATGAAAGAGACACAGACATTTTTATCTCAGTGGCTGGATACAGCATTACTCAATTCATATTTATTTTCTTTCCCCAAATAAACTAGCATCTTTCATTTCGACAGATTAAAAAATAAGCCTATTTTTAATTTAATTTTTTAAACCCTCGCCCGAGGACATGTTTTTAATGATTTTCAGAGAGAGTCAAAGAACGGGAGAGGGAGAGAGAGAAACATTGATGTGAGAGAGACACATTGATCAGTTGCCTCCTCTATGTGCCCTGACTGGGAATGAATCTGCCACCTTCTGGTGTACAGGATGATGTCCTTATGTTTGCGTTAATTACATGTATATGTTATGTAGAACATATGCATGAATGCAAGTGAATAGAATCAAACCATATTTCAAAGAAGATAATCTTCAATAAACTAATACCTTTTAGGGAAAATAAAAACACATTTTAATTTCTTACAGCTACTTTTGAGATCCACAGTAATCCCCATTATGTATTACTGTCAGCCACAGCTTTGGGACTGGTTATATTTAAAGAAGCGTTTAGCAACCTTCATACCTGGTGGTTGACCAGAAACCTGGTTCCCAGATTTTTTTTTTTCTAAAGCATCATTCCCATTGCTGACTAGAATGTGTTTTCTTTTGCAGCTATGGTACATGTTCAGAATGTGTGTGGTCTCCCCTGACCCCTGCACTAAGTGGCCTGGGGAGAGCTCTGTTACTTCTTTGCACATTCTGTGAAAGGCATTTTTATTAGTCACCCGGGATAGTCTCTATTACTTCTTTGTTGGTGATGCAGTAGATTAAAAAAGAAAAAATTCCTCCCAGATGATACAAAAGCAAAACTCATTTGAGTCTCTGTGTAAAGCAAGTTCTGTTAAATGGATACGCAATTCTGTTAAATTGATACACAATTAGCTCTGTCAACAGAACAGCAAGTAGGAGCGTGGGCAGGAAATATGCTGTAACAGAAACAGTGCCATTCTGACAGTCGAGCTCAGCTCTCAGCTCTTCTCAGTTCTGTCACTTGGGGTAAGTGAGTTTAGTTGCCCAAGCCTCAATGTCCCCATCTCATTGGGCTAATATGCAGATTAAATACATCGTAGATGTAAAATGCCTACCACAGTGTCTGGTGCATATTAGCACTTCAATAGAGCCTAGATTCCCTCATCAATTTCAACTCCCCTCATTCAATAGGAAGAGGGGGCGGCATCTCCATACTCAGTTTTTAGGGTTTTCCTGCCTAGCCTTTTCAATCTCACCCATTCTTACAGGTGAGTGCTAAGTGATGGCAATTTGGCATCTCACTGGTCCTAATCCTCATTCAGCACTCCCCACAAACAGCTTCCTCTTGAACAGATGTTAAGACACATATCTTGGGCTCACGGATATAACCCTGTGGATTGCAAATTTTTTATAGGTCAGGAGGGTATGGTTGCTTTTTAACTCTAGTTTTGCAGTGTTTTTTTTTTTTATTATTTTTTATTGTTGTTGTTTTAAATTGTTTTTTTTTTTATTTTTTTATTTTTAGAGCGAGAAGAAGGGAGAGGGAGAGAAAGATAGAAACATCGATGAGAGAGAACATCGATTGGCCGCCTCCTGCATGCCCCCCACTGGGAATTTGGCCCACAGACTGGGCATGTGTCCTGACTGGGAATCGAACTGGGGACCTCTTGGTGCATGGGTCGACGCTCAACCACTGAGCCACACTGGCCGGGCTGCAGTGGGTTTTTAACATCTTTCTGCACTGCTGTGCTCTTTTCTCTGCAGTCTTAGAGGGTTAGACAACTCCAGGGATGAGAGGCCAGGGATTTCAACACTGGACTTGGGGAGGTGGCTAACTGGTGATATACTGAGATTGCTCTTAATCTCTTCACATCAGTGCAAATTCTTTGGAAATACCTTCCTGAGTGTAAGTGTCCAGTAACTTCATTTTGAATAGGGCACAGATGGACTCGATAAATTGACAACCCCACTCAGGGCCGTTCGTCTTTGACCAGACTCAGAGTTACGTGACCAGAGTCACAGTTTCCTCTCAGAGTCGGAGGAAAGCCATTTCTGAATGACTGCACAAATGAAAGAGAGAAACAAGAGAGAAAGGAAGAGGGCTGATAGAATCTGAAAGAAAATGCCCAAGAAACCTGGGTTGTTAAGGGGCGTGGTTTCTAGTTTGAAACTACTAGAATGAGTTTTGGCAAACATGCTGAAACAAACCTCAGGCCCATGGCCCATGGTCTCCTGGAAAGCACATCAGGAAGAATTACCTGTCAGGTGTGCTCTTGGCTTATCTACATCAGCTCTGGAAGGTGCATCTGTAAGGAAAGGAGAAAAATGCTTTGTATGAGTCAGCAGGTGACTGGAATGAAGACAACATTTGGGGAGTTGCATGGTGCCTGCAACTGGAGAGGAATATTCCTTTTCTCCAGCTTGGCCCAGTTTCCCTTTTTGTGAGTTTGTTTTGTTTTTTACAGGAACAGAGAAGACTCAGGAAAAAGTCTTTTTTTTTTTTTAGGGAGAGAGGGGGAAAGAGAGAGAGAGAGAAACATCGATGTGAGAGAGACACATTGACTGGTTGCCACCCACACTCCAACAGGGCCGGGGACAAACTGCAACTGAGGTATGTGCCCTTAGCGGGAACCGAACCCGAAACTCTCTGGTCTGCAAGCCAACGTTCTGACTGCTGAGCCAAACCAGCCAGGGTGGGGAAAAAGTCTTAAGCACAAATGAATCTCGGGCTCCATGACATTAGACAAGTTATCTAACCTGTTTCAAACTTTGTTTCTCCATCTCTAAGATGGGCACATTAATTCCTACCATGGATGGAGCGTGTTCAGAATGATTCCTGGCATGTGATAGGTGCTCAATAAAGCTCATCTTGCCTCTCCTTTCCTCCTACTGCTTCTGTGGGAGCTAACTGGCCTTTTGCCCTTTTCATGGTCCCTTTAACTATAGCCGCTGAGGTATCTGGCTAGCCTAAGAGAATGGGGTGGGGACCACTCTGTAGCTATATGACTTTGACAGGTCCCTTTCTGGTCCTCTGTTCCCCTATCAGTTCTCCAGAAGACCTCAATTTCCTTTTGGCTTTTAGAAATGATTATATTGGACAAGTGTGTTCTAACTGCAGTGATAAAGATGATGATGTTGATGATAAAAATCACTGTATTCTTTTGATGTGGTAGGCATTATTGCAATACCTTTATAGGAATTAACTAATAGAATCTACTCAAACCCTGAGAGGTATGTACTATCAGAGCCATTTTTATAGGTGAGTAACATGAGACAGAGACAGGTGAAATTGTTTGGCCAAAGAGCATCCATCCACAGGCCCTGCACTTGGCCACGGCACCATTTTGCCTTCTTAGTGGCCAAGGAGGCCCCTCACTTCTCTGGGTTTGCATCCCTCTGAACATCCAAATACCAGAACTACTAAATATGCTCTTGTTCCCCACAAAAATCGGCATCAAATATTAACAAACTTACAAGCGCGCTGATGTGAAGGTCCAAATTCCTGTCCTTTTGAAGTCTGTTGGGAAAGAAAGATACAGTTCAGACCATGTGTGGACCTTGTGACCCCAACATCCATGCAGCTGTGCAAAGCATGGGTATGATGAAGATGCTGCTGCTGCCCACCCGGGTACTCTGAGATGAGGGAGAAGGGAATGAGAGTATTTGGTTGGTGGGACTCTTGCACCCAAGCTCTCCCCTTTTCTCCTCCAGGACCTAGTGACCTTTCTCTTTCTCGTGCTTGTCTCTGGAGCTCAACTTCAAGGTTCTTTCCTGGGAGCTTTTCCCGTTCTTTTCAAGGGCACCCCAGCATCTTGTCAATGGTTCTATTATTTGAACAAATAATTGCACTTGTTTCATTTTCCTTTTCCCACCACAATTTGGAAAATGGAACTATCTTTTAAAAATGATACCAAAAAAGAAATAATCATCGTGTTCTCTTTCTCAGTTTCTAGAATTCTTTCTTGTTTTCTTGTAATGCATGATGACTTTTTCTTCATTCCAATCCTAGTGTGTGAGCCATGTCAGGTGTACATGGTAATGGGACCATAGCTGCTTTGGAGGCAGGCAGACCTGGACTTGAATTCTAATTCCATCGTTTATTAACAACAGACTCTTGAGCAAGCCACTTTTTCCCTCTGAGCTTTGCTGTCCTCATCTGTAAAATGGGAATAATAGCATCCATAGCCCTAGATGACTCCCATGTTTGGGATGAGGATCAAATCAGATGAGCAAAATAAACTAACCAAATAGAAATAGACTCATAGGTACGGAGAACAGACCGAGAGCTGTCAGAGGGGAGGGGCTTGGGGGAGCAGGGTGAAAAATGTGAAGGGATGAAGCAAAAAAGCGAAACAAATCTCATAGACACAGACAACAGTGTGGTGATTACCAGAGGGATGGGGGTGAGGGTGGGGGGTAGAAGAGGGTAAAGGGGGGATAAATGGTGACAAAAGGAGACTTGACTTTGGGTGGTGAATACACAGGACAATATACAGATGATGTATTAAATAATCATGCACTCAAAACGATATAATTGTATTAACCAATGTTACCCCAATAAATTCAATTAAAGAACAAAAAAAAAGGAAAATGTATGAGTTAGTGCAAAGAAGGTTCAGAAGTGGAAGGAACCACCACTCCCATGCTGGAATAGAAGGCTGGGCAGCAAACCTAAGCTCTTTGCTGAGGAGTAAAATGCCATCTTACATTTTACAATGTTTCCAAAGAGCCTTCTCTGACATGCTTTTGACCCAACCCAGAGTCTTCAGCTTTGATTCTGGTAATTGCTTGGTCCCCACCACCAGGGATCCTCTCGTCGCCATGGACACTTGATCAGTTTTACCTCTTAAAACCCGTATGTGTGCGAGCATATACTCGTGACTGAGGAGTTGTGTGTCCGTGTTAGTAGGAGAGAAGGCGGCTCCGTCTGTGGGAAAGAGAGGTTTTGCCTCTGTGTATCTTCATGTGTCTGTGGTGTGGCGTTCTGTCCCACATACTTATGCGTGGCCCTGTGGAGGTGGCCAGGTCATTTCTGAGTCTAGGCCTGTGAGCAGTTCTGTGATAGTAGTGATTCTCTTCGAACCCAGACTGGCAGGCTCTTTTTCCTCCCAAGCCACACACCTTGACCTCTACTGGAAGCCTTCTTGAGGACAAAGATCTTGTCTTCGACTGACAAACTGACCTCACCGTCTCTCCAGCTCCCTTTTCTCTGCTTCCTAATTCTGTTAATGGTGCCAGTACTGCTTCCCCTCACTGCCGGGCCTAAAATTGGCTTCTTTCGTTCACAAACCCCCACTCTCACTTTTATTTTGCATGTGTTCTCTTTTGTGAATCCGCTTCCAGCCTCAGTGTGCTGCTTGCCTGGGTCTTTCCAAGAACCTCCTAACAGGTCTCTCCTGCATCTAGTTTCTCCTTTTCTCGAATCCATCTCCCAGCCTGCCTTCCGAGGGTTTGTTCCTAAAGCACGACTTTATCTTGGCATTTGAAGTTCCAGTTTACCATCCCAGCCCCACAGGTGGGAGAACCAGGGGAAACTGCCCCTGACCCGAGTCTTACAGGTCCCACAGGTATTAGCCAGGTGATAAAAGGTCACAGCCATTCTAGACAAGGCCAGCAGCTGTGCAAGAGTAAGGCGGCCCCACAGCACAGGGGAACAGTTGGATGACTGAAAGGATTTCTGCTTCCAGATGAACATGTTACACACATTTAGCACGGGGTCACGATTACAAAGGTCTTTGAAAATCTAAACCAGGTTGATGCAACTACTTGTCCAGCATTAATAACTTTCATGGGCTTGGGAGGTGGAGAAGCTGCCCAGAAATAAGTTAATTTTGTAGCCAGTTTCCTCAGTTGCTATTGACAGAGCTGATAGAGAACCAGTCAGTCCTTTGGCAAGTCAGAAAACCGAAGGTGGGGTTCTCGAAGAGACTGGGGGAGAGCTTGGTTGCATCCCCTTGTGTAGGGAATGGTACTTTCCATGATTGGCCTTCTCTGACTCATTCACTTTGCCAAGAAAACGTATCCAACACTCTGCTTGTTTTGGGTTAGGCCGACACTCAGCTGAGTTTGGAACATTCCTTTTGGCTCACAGACCGCTTTTCCTCAACATGTATTTGGGATGTGAGCACATTTTTCTATTCGCTCTGCTGGGTTTCTGTAACTTGGGAACACATTTTATTTTCATGTATGGATGGATGTGTATGGATTTTGGCGGCTTCAGAATGCCACTAAATGTCTAGGGGCGGCGATAGTGCCAGTTGGCAGGTGTTGAAGAACACAGCACCCCAGAGACCCCAAGGAGAACACTGGCTGGGATTCTTTTTCCAAGAACCATATCTAAAGCCATCCCTTGTTGTTTTTCTTAATAATTGACTCTATCATGAGAGGAAGATTACTGTCATGGGAAGCAGGAACGAACGAAGAGGAGATTTGAGAGGAAGACATCGTAGTTTATTTGGGAAAAAGTTTATGCATTTGAGTTGGTTCAATGCCTGCTCTCCAGATGGTTGCTGGTAACACCAGGCCAGTGAAATGTCTACTGTTGCCCAACCCTGACTCATCTCCATCGCCTCTGGGTTTCTCTGGGGGACCCAGGAGATGGTGGCTGCTGATGGTCAATGCAGCATTGACTTCCAAATTTGAATAGACACAGTATTCAAGATCACCCCAGAAGAATGTAATTTATTTCCCCTAATTGCCTTCTCAAACCACTGGCCGAGAACCAGGATCCTATTTTATTTCTCCTCTTGAACATTCATCCCTCCCTGAAGTGATTTACTTATTTGAGTGTTTATTGATTTTCTTTCTCTAGTAGAATTCAAGCTGCATGCAGGCAAGGACCCGGTCTTTCTGCCTTGGTTACCACTATGCTCTGGCTGGCACCTCTGCTGGATGACCCAGCTGTCAGAACACGCTGATGCTTGGGCATCAAACAGACAAGCAGAGAAGAGAGCAGAGGATGGAGTCAGGTTCAGCGTCAGTGACTTTAGACAGAATTTTGCAAGGGAAAAGACGAGGAAAGACAACTTTTTATTTTAGAATGCGTGCAGTGTTTGGAGCCTGTTTCAATTAAAAAAATATAATTATGTAGAGGTGGGTGGCCCAAATCTTTTGGGGCCGGGGGAATCTTTTGGGGCCGGGGGCCTCTGCAGGCTTTCATCAGCTCTGCTTGGAGCATAGTCATGGCTCTAGAAATGTTTGCTGACAGATGGGGGCTTCTGTCAGACGTTAGAGCCAGAAAAGGCCGGTGTGTACAGCGTGTCTGCCCATGGGCACCCGTGTTAGTGGGGTGTGGAAGCCCACCATCACCAGCACTTATTAGCCTGAACAAAGGAAGTGAAGCCTTTCACCCCTTAATTTCTATAGGTCAGGGAATATTCGCTCTTATTTGGTTTTCTTTCTTGGTATCCTCTCATTTTTTTGTTTTTGGTTTTGTATGTCGATTGGTAGTCCCTGACTCAAACTAACCATGACGTATGACTGTAGGCATTTTGGGGATTACTCGAACCCTTCAGACAGGAAAGGAGGAGGAGGAGGAGAGAAGGAGGCTCCTGTCGAGTTGAGGGCTTGCCGGTCCACGTTGGGGGTCTCTGTGTGTTCCTCATCCGATACTCCAGCTGCCCTCAAAGGACTGGATCACCTTTTTGTTAGAACAGTCTTTGTAAGCCAAAGGTCAGAGAAAAAGGGGAGGGTCTAGGATCGGGACCTTTAGACCCAGCACAGACCCTGGCACATATCAGGAGCCCCATGAACGTTAGCTGAGCATACACAAGGGAAGATCGGACCTGAAGCAAGAGGGTCTTTGAGATGATCTTGGCGTTTCCCCAGATAAATCCCTTGAGTGTGTTTTAACTATTGACCCCTTTGCCCTTTCTCCCATGTTCTCCAGTCACTGTCCAGTATGTTAAAACTGGGACAGATAGCCATCGCCTGCCCTCATACATGCCTCAGTGGCAAAGGCCTAGGGGTTTCATGGCGCATCCTAGCCTCCTAGCACTTCCGGGGGAAATACACAGACATTTGCCTGCTTGTCTTTTTCTCTTGCATATGCCCGTTCATACTCGCACAAGGATAAATCCGACCTAGAAATGTTTTATTCCAAAGCCCCTTCATTTCACCATCCGCGAAGGTGCTCTGGCCAAGGCTTTCATTGACAGGCAGCATTCAGAGTGGCGCAGAGCAAAGAAACGTGGAAATCCCAGGTCTGTTACTTCCTGGCGGTCTGACTTTGGCGTGTCACCTAACCTCAATGAGACTGTTTCCTCCTCCATCAGAGCAAAGATTCTTTCCTCCTAGGACTGTCGTGGTGGCCAAGAAGGAACGTACACATGAAGTGGATATCCAATTCGTTTTCCGCCTTTCTCTGGGCTCAATAAAGGCTGTGGCATACGCTGTTGGTTCTGCAGAGCTTCCGTGCTTTCATCATGTCAGTGACAAACAGCAGCCACTCCGTGTCTCTGCATGACCAGTGGCAGATCGGCACCCTTCAAGGGCTCTGGGAAGCTTCCTCCTTCTCCC